ACATATCTCTACCTTTACTGTAAATAGGGAAGTGGTTAGAACAACATAAAGAAAGCCCACAGCTCTTAATAAGAAAGCTTTACCTAGAGAATCTTGCATAGGTTTTCTTTGGATGCAAGGCCATGGTTTTTCCACAACTTGGACATTTCTTACAAGGAAGTACGGCATGAACTATCATACATTTATTACCCTTGGCTCTTCTGAAGAAATGAAAACTCATCAGGTTCAGGGAGGGGATAAATGTCTTTTGGATACATTAACATGCAGTTTGACTACTGTTATTCATTCAACCAGTATTTGAGCATAAAACACACTGTGTGAGGGACAACAAAGAGAGTGAATGTCTAAGTTAGAGATCCTTCCCTTTGGAGGTTCTCCTCTAGGAAAGTGGCGAGACAGAAGATTAACTAACAAGGCCAGGTGAAGTTGGTGGAGGCAATGCATAGGCATGAAAGGCAGCAGGAGCTTGAGTGTGAGATGATGGCAAGCTGGGTGGAAGAGAGCAGGTTTTCCTTTGAAAGTAGTGCTTGAGCTGATCTGGGGATGTGGGTGGAATGCTGCTGGGTGAAGGCAGTAGGGACAGCATGATACTTTCAAAGTCTGGATGAAAAAGGATTATTTAACTGTATGACCTGCATGCATACTGTACTTCCAGGCACTGTGCAAATGACTACAAACACATGATTTCCTTTGCTCCTTACATAATACAATTCTTTTGAGTTAGAGATGATGATCTTCAACTTAGAGATGAGAAGCCTTTGGTTCAGAGAGAAAAGCAATGTGCCAAGTAGTGGACAGAGATTCGAACACCAGCCCATCTGACCCCTTGAGTTTCTGTTGAACCACTGCCACAGGCAGAATGCCTGTGGCCCTTTAGGATCCGTATCTTGAAATCCTAACCCCCAATGTGATGGTAATAGGTAGCAGGGACTTAGGGAGGTGATTAGGTCACAGGGTAGGGCCCTCATGAATAGGATTAGTGCCTTTATGAAAGAGACCCTAGAGAGCGCTCCTGGCCCCTTCTGCCATGTGAGGACACAGCAAGAAGATGCCATCTGTGAACCAGGAAGTAGACCCTCACCAGACACAGAAGCTGCCAGTGTCTTGTTCTTGGACTTCCGGCCTCTAGAACTGTGAGCAATAAATTTCTGCTGTTTATAGGCTACCCAGTCTACGGTGTTCTGTTCTGGCAGTCAAAACAGACAAAGACATCTGCTGTGCTAGGCTACCTCCCTCCAAGGCCCTGTGCTTCTACCTTGCTTTGCAATCTTAAGAGAGAGGTTTTCTTTGTATAAGGTGGCCATGAAATTTCCAAAAGTACCTTCTGTCTGCAGTCAAAAGTAAGGCCCTTGTGTTTTTAGTGAGGTGATCTTGATTTGCTGTAGCTCTGTAAAAGCTCACCTCCATTCTGAGCATGGATGTATGTTGGATGGTTACTGCTTACTAACTGGTGCTAGTCTAGCTGAGGCATTCCTGTGGGAAATGCCAGGGAAGGCAGCAGAAGCCTCACAACCTAGTGCTGGCCAGAAAGCAGTAAATGGCCTCCTCATCCCTGACCCATGCCCTGGGCACCTGATAAAGGACACGGTCTTTTCTTCAAGGTCTTTTTAAAGTTTGATTCTCTGGATTCTCTAATAATTTACTATTTTGGGTTGTGGCAACTTTGCACAATAAAAGGAGCATCACAGGTTGAAATCTTTATCTGTACCTGTGGCGTCAATTTCACACCGACTCCCACAGTTATACTCCCTCAATTTTGACCTCATTTTCCTAAAACACCAAATCTTACTCCCAAAGGTGATATCATTCCAAGAATTAGTTCAGAGAAAAATGAAGGGAAGACAGTATCCATAGCAAATATGCCTTAAATAATGAGGATGAAATTCCAACTTTTAAAAAATATCTTAACCAGAAAAATGTCTCACATTGACCTATCTCAGCTCTTGTGATTGTTACCATAAAGAGGCAACTGAAGTTTAATCTCACCTACTCCAATTCCCTTCACCAGACCAATAAGCCAGGTCAGGCGGAGTAAGAACAGCTACCTGAGTAGACTTTCCTGAAAGGAGAGCCATGGATGCTGGGAGCCATCTTGAATTCTGGTAAAAACAATGAATCCTTGGTATTCCATAATTCTTACACTAGGCATCTTTCTCTTCCTCAAATGCAATTTTATGGATGAATATGAATAGATCGCAACTCATTATGCTATGAGTTAAGGAGGTCTGCCCCAGTTCAACCCAGCATGGGTCATTTTAGCAAATGTGCTTAGTCATCTAGCATGAAGAAGCTCTCTACCTGTACTCCTGGGGAAGTGCTCATGATAATAATTTCTAAAACTACAGTTTTAAGGCAAGACACGTATTAGATACTCTTCATATATACTGACTAAATGATAATATATGCAGATTACATTATGCTCTTCAAGGAATCTCCACAAATACTGTTTTACTCTTGCTTCTGTAAAAGAATACAAGATTGGGAAGAAAGGGTCATTCATTAGCAGTACTGAATGAAAGTGTCATTCATTAGTGGTACTGAATACAGTACAACCCATTGTATTGATGAGGACATTAAAAAACCCAGAAGGTGAGTAGTAAGGAAAAGAGGCAGCCTACCCAGTTCTCCTGATGGCTGGTGTACTGTTCTCAGTTCTTACTAACTTGCCACACCACAAATCTTTCCTTTGCTTGGGATGGCCCTCTATTTATCTAAGCATCTTTAAGATTTGATTTCAATGTTATTTATACTTTGAAGTCTCTCTCTCTCTTCTTTTTTTGACACAGTGTTGTGTTCTGTTGCCCAGGCTAGAATGCAGTGGCACCATCTTGGCTTACTGCAGTCTCCACCTCCTGGGTTCAAGGAAGTCTCCTGCCTCAGCCTTGTGAAGGTAGCTGGGATTTTTCAGGCATGTGCCACCATGCCCAGCTAACTTTTTTTTGTGTATTTTTAGTAGAGAAGGGGTTTCACCATGTTGGCCAGGCTGGTCTCAAACTCCTGACCTCAAGTGATCTGTCTGTCTTGGCCTCCCAAAGTGCTGGGATTGGAGGTGTGAGCCACCATACCCAGCCTGAAGTTGCTTTATTTGATACAAGGTGATAAGTTATAGCACATTCCACAGCAGGTGTTTTTTTTTTTTTTTTTTTTTTTTGAGACATCATCTGCTATGTCACGCAGGCTGGAGTGCAGTGGCTCATGGAACCTCTGTCTCCTGGACTCAAGTAATCCTCCCACCGCAACCTCCTGAGTAGCTGGGACTACAGGTACTTGCCACCATGCCTGGATAATTTTTGTATTTTTTTCTAGACAGGGTCTTACCATGTGGCCCAGGCTGGTCTTGAATTCCTGAGCTCAAGTGATCTGCTTGCCTTAGCCTCAGAAAGTGCTAGGATTACAGGCGTGAGCTACAGCACTCAACCCATCATCTTTTACTTGCTTATTTCCTTGTGCCTCTCTTGGGCAGTAGATCACATGCTCTATGAGGACCGGAACCCACTGGTCCCAGTGTCTCAGCAATGTCCCAGTGTCTCAGCAGTGTCTCAGGCACTCAGCAAATCCTTGTTTAAAGAGTGCATAAACCTCCATGGTCCCCACAACTCTGAGCACCGGCAGAAACTTTAAACATTCAGTTAGCATTTAGAATATGTTAACCTCACCACAGAAAGATGAGAAACAACACATGCCTCATCTCCTTGAGGCCACATATATTCTGACTAAAAGGGCTTCATAGCTCTTATCCCCCAGTACAGTTTATATGCTCAATGAATGTTAACTATGAGAATAATGCCTTAATGCTATTTAATAAGCCTCATTCTGGAACCTTATAATCTAATTCTGATTCAGGTTTTCAAATTATATATAGATAGTAAGCCACTCTGATTATACCACACATACACACAAATGAAATAATAAGAGATCTTGAGAAAGTTCTACCAATGATCACAAGATGTATGAAGCAAGTAAGTTTCATAATTATAAAGAAGTTGCTTCCCGCGGCAGTCAAAATGCCTACTTGCTTCAATGCGATTTCTATGTGTGCACTGGACAGCCCTCTGACACGCCATATTTCCCTGAGATGCACGCAGAGCATATTCATAAAGGGATTGAGATTTGTGGGACTAACACAGATTAATGTGAGAAATATCAGTTTCCCCAGGCATATGTCAAAGCAGACGAGATCATAACTTTCTAGGATGTTTTATGATACCAACTGGTGGATCACAGACCTACCTAAAAGAAAATCTGATAAAGGAAGGCAAACGTGGTTACAATTATTCATACTCCTACTGTGGGAGTTTCATAAACACATTAATAAATATTTTTATCTTGCAATAAGATCAAGTTAAGTGATTTGCTGACATTCTCTTGAGGTTTAAGCCTTGTCTTTAATGTGAAATACAAATCATATTTCTTGTGGACACATTTTAATAATAAACTTAAAAGCATATGAGACAAAAATAATGAAAACACTGCAATGAAAACCAGACAAACTATCTACCACTTCAAAAGGAGTGAATGAAGACCGCTCGTCAACACCCTGATGCAAACAACCTCAACACAAAATGCCACATATTGAAATCATGTTTTATGGAAAGAGAATCAGCAGGGATGAGAGAATGAAAAAAAGCTACTACTTGAAAACAGGTAATTGACCACATGGAAAACACACACAAACACACACACACACACACACACACACACACACACCCCTTGTAGAACAGATCTGATTTTGCTTCAATTCAATTTACTTCTCATCTCTCTGCAAAAATCTCACTGGCAAACAAACAGGTTTGGTCCCTTTTTGCCTTGGGAAAGGACAACACATTTGATGCCAAATCACTTTGGTTTCTAAAATTCCAAGGCTGCCCCTAAGAATAAGAAATTGGAACATTCACTGCCTCAGGAGCATTGAGGGGGAGTCCTCACTGTCTCTCATTTTGCTACTTGGGTCCAAAGGCCATGACAGAAGCACAACCAAGGGTCCCTGTGGAGCAGCTCACCTCTAGGTCCTGTAATGACAGGTCGGTGATGCTGTGTGAATGCTGTTCCCAGGGAGGAGGTCTGCGAAGGGGAGGGGCTGCTGAAACCAGACTTCTCCGACTTCTTCAGTGTGGTTGGAGATGGCATTCCTGGGAAGAAGGATCAACTGGGTAAGTACACTTTAATTCATGCAACAATGGTTTGTGCAACCTAAAAGATAACATTGAAAGAATTAAACACAATCCAAAAAAGGGATCCACCTCTGAAGGCAAAGGATGCTTTAACTGCTTCGCATTATTTGTCACAGGAACAAAGAGGTGACAGAATAGTCCCCTGATAAGTCCGTCTGTATTTGATTTCATTTTAGTCTACTTAATCACAGTCCCTTTTGGGTTTATCGATCTTCTCTAATAATATAGGGTTCAACTTTTCCAGTGTTCCCTAAAAGTTGTTGTTTGTGTCTGTGACCTCTGGGACCCCCAAGAAGGAGACTGTGTTCACTTCACATGCAATCACTTCATCTTGTTGGTTACCTTGCTTTGACACCAAATTACTTTCTTCATATTTTAAATAATCTAGCTGTTTCAACGTAAGAACACCCTCAACAATGGCAACTTCATTGTTCATTCAATTAATAGAAAAAAAAGAAAAAAGAAAAGGAAAAAAATGTTAAATGCCCTACAATTGGGACTGGTTAAATAAGTATGGTAAAACCAGTGTAAACAGTACAAGAGTAATGGCGTGGCAAAACACTTCTAATATCACGTTAATTGAAAAAGGCAATTACAAAATAGGATGTTATGACGCCATTGAAAAGGGTATTTCTATGCACAGAGAAAGAACTGGAAGGCAACACGCATAAACTATAACAGTAGTTCTCTCTGTGTGTTGAATTTGGGTGATTTTTATTGCCTTCATTTTGCTTACTTGTCTTTTCTATGATGAACATATATCGCTTTCAATGTTAATACAATAAAAGCTTGTTTTTAAAAATAGTATTTTTACTATCGTGTCTAAGATTTTCACAGCAGTTCCAGCATAGAAAATGCTTTGGGAAGAAAATAATGGAGGAACAGTGTCTTGTAATTACTGGATTTGTAATGTTCTCAGCAACCACGCTGACATACCCAACTGGAGGCATCCTATCACTTTGGTAGGGTGCCAATTAAAACAACGAAAATTTGGATTAAAAATAAAACAAGTGACTCCTAGTCTCTACATCAGGAGACAAATTTGGGCTCTCTTAAGGTTGTAGCACAAAACTGGTCTACACTGATGTTGAAAGAACCAAAATCTATTTTACTTATACATGTTTACATGTGCTGTGTTCCGCCCATGACCAGAGAACTATCTGGGTGAACCGGAAAAGTAAGTAATAAAAATCATAATGATATTAACATGCAACTGTTACTGAGTACCATGCACTATGCCAAGCACTTTATAGGTACAGATTTGTCCAGAAATTTAGTTAGTTTGGACTGTATCTAAAAATGTCCTTGTTATTTCTGATCACAGATTTCCTTAACGCAATTCTACAACATGACCTTTGAGAGTGACTCAGATTTGATAAGGACAGCGTCCTTGTCTGCTTTGTTCTCCTCTATGTCCAAGACATTCAAGGGTCTGAAACACCCAAATGGTCTGAAAAGATATTTAAAGTACTTGTGCAGGTCTCAGCATTACCTGTAGCTTACATTTAGATGCTTAAACATAGCAGAGCTTAGAGTTTTGGACACCAATAAAGAAACAAATTGCAAATTGGTAAACACTTTTGCATAGTCAGATATAAGTACAATATGGAGTGGTATGTGATTTCATACTAATTTGACAAATTTGAATCAGATCCTTTCTAGATCAATATCCATGTGATTTGAATTAAAACTGAAGTCACTAAGTGACTTACTATATTAGTTGTATTTGTTGCTTGCTGAATCAGTAACCAGTCACACCATACCGAGCTTCTAATGTAGGATGCACTGAGATTTTGGGTGAACATTCACTGCAAGTAACCTCACCTAAGGTATCATCATGTAATTACACTAAGGAGGAGATTTCAAATTAAAAAATGAAAGAAATAAAAAGCTACAAAATGTAAACAAATTCCCAACTCATTTAAATCTTTCTCTGTAGACCAATTTATAGGCTGCCGACCATTCCACTGATCTAAATTTAGTTAAATGCCTGAACTATGTGTCATAAAGCAGAAGCAGAACAGATAATAAAACAAAAAATCAAAACTTTAAAGATGGTAGATTTTTTTTTTCCAGATAATGGAATTGCTGATGAAATCCAGGATCTTAACTAATCTTATTGATGACAGTAAATGGTTGGACTCAAGAAAAAGTTATGATTTCTTTGAAAAATTCATGTTTTCTAATCTATGCCGTTCTAAATACTGCAGAAATGTTGACATGATTGAAATCCACTATTTAGGCTTCTAAAAGGAATTGTAAGTAAAATTTGGTAAATGACAAGTATCAAGAATGACCAAGTTAGTAAATGAGTTCCAAAAGAGCAAAATTTAAATCTTCTTTGCAAGGGTTAAAGAGGAAAGAAATACTGTTGGCATGCAGCAACAACCAGCCAAACTATGTATAATCTTCTAAATTTATCACAGTCAAGTAATATGAACCCTAAGGCTGTCATGAATCTCAAAATTACTTTGTGTTTTCAATTTTTAAAGACTCGTATTGAGCACATTCCCTTATAATATACTTCAATATTTTCTCCACATGCATAATGTATGTTTGGGTTAATTTGCTTTGTATACTTAATTGACCAGATGAAATTCCAAAATGCTAGTAAACTGCTCTATGTTAAAGCTAGAGAACATTAATCTTGGCTTTTATTTTTGAAATCAAATTTGGTTCTGTACGTTACTTTAAAAATAAACTCCTTTTAAAAATCTCTTTTGCCAATTATTTATGCACAACTGTTACAAAATTACTGTGCAGATTAATGACTAATTGGCTTTCCTTTAATGAATTAAAACTTTAATTTCAATGTATTTTCTAGCAGTACCAGATTTTTTAAAAAAAGATTACGGACGAAGGAATCCTACCCCTTTTCTGGAGCAAATGAAATGTTACTTCAAAGTTCAATAAAGAAAAATAAAGCATTTGGTAGAATGAGAAGAAGAAATATAGCATAATGTTTTGTTTCAATGGGACATTTCATCCTTTTCATTGGTATAAAGAACCCAATGATAGTAAGCACCATTGGAGATACATTTCAAGAAGGCCTTTGGCTTGTCACTGGTTTTCTGAACATCCAGAATTTTTGAATTCTGAATTTCCCTCTATTCCAAATTTCCCTCTAGTCTGCCATTTTTCTAGGCTATGTGAGTCATTCAAAATTTTATTCAGTTGACAAGGGCAAACATATATGGGATTTTAGTCATGTAGTGGCTTTGCTCTTTGGAGGCACTTAAACATGTAAAGTTCAACAAGAACACCTCAAAAATACAGGCCAAATGCAGTATTCACAATTCATCATTAGTATTTGTGGTAGTCGGGCTGGGCTGGTGGCTCGTGCCTATAATCCCAGCACTGTGGGAGGCTGAGGCAGGAGGATCGCTTCAGGCCAGGAGTTTGAAAGCAGCCTGGGCAACATAGTGAGACTTTGTCTCCACAAAAAAATTATTTTTCAAAGTCAGCTGAGTGTGGTGGCATATGCCTGCAGTCCCAGCTACTCAGGAGGCTGAGGCAGGAGGATCGCGTGAACCCAGGAGTTTGTGAGCTATAATACCACTTGCACTCCAGCCTGGGCAACAGAGAGAGACCTTATCTCAAACAAAATTGTGGTGTTCAGAATTCTAAAATGGATTCCTAGTTCACGGCCTTGTTTAATAATGCCTTATATAATCCCCTCTCCTGCATGTGTGAGGTACTTGTGAATATGATAAATTACGATTCTTGTGAACAGGTTATATTATACCACAAAGGTGATTATATTGATTAGGTTATGTTATATTGCAAGAGACTTCTGCAAATATAATTAAGGTCCCCAATCAGGTGAGTTTGAGTTAAGAAAAAAACCAAAATCTATTATCCTTGGTGGGCCTGCCCTAACCAGGGCAGCCCTGTAGAAAAGGAACTAGAAATCTGAGAGAGATTCTTCTTCAGGCTTTGAAGAAGTCAGCTGCCATATTGTGAAAGGACCTGTGACAGTCACATGGCAAGGAACTGCAGAGGCCTCCAAGAGCTGAGTAGGACCCCTCACTGACAGTTAGCTTTCAGAAAGCAGGGACCTTAGTCCCAAATCCACAAGCAACTGAAATCTGCCAACAATCACGACAACTTGTACCAGGCCCTTGAGCGCCAGAAGGAATGAAGTCTGAAGAACATTTTCACTGCAGCCTTGTATGACCCAAGCAGAGGATCCAGTTCAGCTGGCCCAGGCTCCTGACCCATGGAAACTGTGAGATAATGTTAATAATTCTGTGTTGTTTCAAGTTGCTAACTCTGTGAAAATCTGTTCTGCAGCAACGGAAAACACACATGACATTCAAATATAAGACTACTGCAATGCTAGCCGTGTGTGCATTAAAGATGTTTATTGTACAATAATTACTCTCTACAATTCTGAACTTTTCCCTTACTTTTACCTAATCCATCCTAGGTCATGAAGTCTTCCACTAGTCTACACTCACCCAGAGAAAATGGTAAGATGTATTCTTAGAAAGAAGCTAGAAAGTGGTAATTTCCAAGGACATAAACACTTTTGAAAATTTCTACTTCCCCCGATTCTTTTAAGAAACATCAATAACAAAATCAGATTGAGTAATACGAAAAAAAAAAACCCAAAACAAATTCTGAGGATCTCCCCTAAGAGATTAAGGTTTGTTGTAGGTAATTTTTCTTTTTTTCCTTTCTTTTTTGAGACAGAATTTTGCTCTTGTCGCCCAGGCTGGAGTACAATGGCGTGATCTCGGCTCACTGCAACCTCTGCCTCCTGGGTTGAAGTGATTCGCCTGCCTCAGCCTCCCAAATTAGCTGGGATTACAGGTGCCTGCCACCACACCCAGCTAATTTTTTTTTTGTATTTTTAGTTGAGATGGGGTTTCACCATGCTGGCGAGGCTTGTCTGGAACTCCTGACCTCAGGTGATCCACCTGTGTCAGCCTCCCAAAGTGCTGGGATTACAGGCA